CTCAAGCCCCAAAGCCCCCCCCTTGGGTGCGCCACTGAATCGAACACGTCTTAGTTCGTTCGAAAATTGGCATACAAAAATTTACCCATTTTATACAATTACAATTTTTAACTAATCCAAATTAATAACTTTCCATTGTATCAATACATATTATATTATATAATTACTGTATAAATAAGTGTAACTAATGGCCTTTGTTGTCGATGTAAATATGCTCAATAAAAAAAAAAATTTTTAACTACACCGTTTCAAAAAATGAACGTTTCATTCTAGAACAATAAATGGTTTATAATATATAATTATTAATTACAATACATTTTTAACCACACCATTTATACAAATGACAGTTCTCATTCTGTAAAAGTGAGAAGGAAAATATATGTTTACTATTAACCGATCAATCAATATTATTAACCAGGACGCAACTCGTACTTGTCGCGAAAAAATCGCGGACGCAACACAGATGTGTTGTACCTATATTTTCGTATTTTGAGACGCAATTCGTATGCAGCCGAAATTAGACACCTCCACAAATAGAATTTTGACACACACCTATTTCTTATATAATTACTAGAGCCTCGAATTTAATGCACTTGAAGCAACACAAATATGCTCTAAAAAATAGCTAAAAATGCTCTTTTAAAAAATACATTTTACTACAAAAATGACATTAAAAATTCCATATATATTTTGGTGTTTTTATTTGGAATTTATAAATAATATATAATTATTATTTTTTATTTTATTAAAAAAAAAAAAACTAAAAATTAGAAAAATTGACTTGATGTTGACTTGACACGCATATGTTTTGGGATAATATTATTCATTCTAAACATACCAAAATGTACGAGATTTATGTAAAATTAAAAATATACATTAAAAACCAACAAAATCAAAACACGATCCAATAATGCTAAAAATGATCTAAAAATTAAAAAACGTCGAAATTTGCAAAAAAAATTAAAAGCAAAATGCTACCTTTAAAACACTTTTCACTACGTGAAATGAATTATGTACTTGGAAAGTACTCATCAGAAAAAAAAATGCACTTTGCATTGATATCCGGACCCTAATAGTTACCATCACGCACCAAATATAGTTTTTATAGTATTGTTTATGTAGTATCATCGACTTTTAGTTCACAATTAACTAATTAATAATCAATTAATTATTGTAATATGTCTAATACAATTATCATAGTATATTTGGAAGACTAAGATGACCGCCCTACCTACTCAGATCATCTTAGACAACTGTCGTATACACGTATAAGTAGATATATATTTTGGCGCCATTGCTTTGTACTATTATTGGCTGGTACCTATATACATCAACTGCCGCGGCGGCATGACGGTGTACTCGTATATGTATATACAATTTGAATGCCAATTATTAATGGTATAATATAACTGCTTTTTCATATATGCCTCCCTTATGAACCTCCCTAAAGGTGATGGATATTATGTATACATAAAACATCGTTCGCTGAGTTATTAGGTCACGTGTAACATTATAATGTTTTATACCGCGGTGCGTAAAGTGCGCATGATATCGATACCGTGATGATGGTACCTACATCCATAGCTATATATATCCATAATATTATCATATTATCATATATATTATATATAGGTATCATACCGATTTCAGAATATTACTGAATATTACCTATACCTTCGGATAATGTTTTACTAAAAAATAAATGCTATATATATATATTATATATGGATATAAAAGGTATACCTATACGTTATATAGAATATTAGTATGATATATAATAATATAGTATGATGGTTTTTTCACGTTTATCGATCGATATCGCGTCACACGGGAATAGGATTAGTTTTCTAATCATTTTCGGTGGGCCTTTTCGGTATATTATATTCTAAATAATTTTCACAGCGGCTCAAGTCTCTCAACCGCTCTCGCTCTGAAGCCCTTGTCGTGACTTCGCCGGCCTATTCCTATATATATATATAATATACCATTGCCAACCAGATCGAGAGGTGGCCCCCTCGAACGACCGCAGGCGTGTATAGCAGTGAATTGACTTCTAAATTGATTACATACCGGTAAATTCGATTTTCCACGACCCGTGTGATGCCTACACTAAACTCTTTACTTAATCAATTTCAAATTTCCTTTCCGCGATTCCCGAACATCGTGCTTTTATCTATTCCCCCCGACTTTGGATGCGAAATTAGCACGTCAGACGATTACAAAATTAGCCGCATGATTGCTGCTGCAGGGTGCATCGATGCGGGGGCGGGCACATCCAACGTCATCTTAAGTTTTTTTAATATTTATATTTTATTTATCGTCGGTCATAAAATTATTCTACTAGTGCGCGGCAAAGTTATACTCTTTTTTGCATATATTTTTTATCTAAACTACCATGTCCTTGATCAAAAGTATTTTGATATTTTTTTTCATAATTTTAAATTTGTATATTTTTACAAAACATAACTTTGTTTTTTATTATATTTGCTACATTTCAATTTGTTTACAGAATGCATATAAAAAATATTTTGAGAAGTGTTGTTAAGTATTAAAAACAGAGGAATGCCAATTTTATTTATTATTTTATTTTTTATTCAAATTTGTTTTTAATTCCCATTAAAAAGTGAAAATATTAATAAAAAATTAAATTAAAAATAAAAATTATATTTTAACTAATAAATTATTTTTTTAATTTCATATTCAATAAACAAATCGAACTGTAAAATACTTATTAAAAAGCTTAAAAGATAAATGCATTTTACTTAAAAATATTTTAATTTTAAATTGACGAAAAACGAAAAAAAATGTCGTAAATTTTACTCTTATTTATCATCTATTAAACATTTTCCAAGTACGTAAGGTATAAAATTATGGTCGACACTGACAGTAATGTTCACGTTATATTGACATTACTCAGACGCGATCGAGCAATGTCGATATTATCCGTAACTGCACGTAATAAGGTATACGTAGACGTACAAGCAGGTGCGGACTAGCTGAGATATTACATCATCCCTTGCCCTAAAATATATTTGATAGATAAAAAAATATAAATTACTATAATACTGTTATAAATTTGATCTGATCTGTTTTTAATCTAATATTGTATAATTTTTATTTTAATGTCCGTTGTAACTTATTGGTACCTTTATTTACGATTCTTACGTATTTTCAATATATTTTATTAAAACAAAATATTTTAATATTTTATAAATAATCTGCATATATTTTAAAGTTACCCTTTAAATTATGTAGCATCCCTTGCCCTTTTTTGACCTGCAGTCCGCGCCTGCTATTTGTAAGATATATTATTCACAAGACGTACCTACATTTTAGTATTTACCCAAAAACAAAACTTATATACATATGTACATAGAATAGTCAGCTTTTATCAGGTTAATTTTTTTCGTTTTACGCGTTCAACATAATATGTATTCCTTCGTATACGATGAGAAACTGGGCTGCAACGCGTTCGACGAATGTACAACTTGCTATTATAAATACAAAATACAAAGAAAACTCTTTATACAGGGTGATTTTTTTATTTCCATATAATAAGTTTTTTTTCAACGGAGTAACTCTATATTACGTAAATAACATTAAGTTGACTTATAGTGGTTGGTTTGATTTAAAACCCATTAATATTACTCTATATTACGAAAACTCTGAATAACGAAAGAAATCACATGGTCCCTTCAGATTCGTTATAGAGAGTTTTCACTGTATGCGTATAATAACAATATAATCGCTTGCAGTGAGTATAATAGTAACAAATGCCCGTTTTTGCGTTTCAACAGATACTGTTTACCGACCACTGTAAGGCGTGCATTTGCATCGACGGGCAGATATTTTGCTATTGGCAATGCGACGACACAGCAGCTCCTGCATTGGACACGATGATGGACGAAGAAATCGACGACGAACCGCAATCCACGTCCACGACAAACAGTAATATATATTTATATTTATATATATATATATATAAACAATAGAAAGACATTTCAATGCGTGATGATGGTTGGTCTAAATAAATAACATATACGTACACGTTCATTCAAACCTATACACGTGCAAAAATATAATAATATGCTATATGGAGATACGCGGGGACGCGTCTGATGTTTGTTTTCGATTTGAAAAAAAAAACAAACAATTTACAAATCTGTTTTTGGACGACTGTTCCACGTTAAAAAAAATGTATCATTCGTGCACCATTGTATTTGATGCGTATTTGCGTATACCTGTAATATTGCTTACTCCTATAACTATGTATAGGACGAAGTATACGATTTAAATCAGCGAGAGAATAACTGCGTAGGTACAGTTTTTTAACATTCGCATTTTATCGTATAGGAGGCCTCGCTACTGCCGTCAATTTTAGCTCAAAAGAACTCTATAGTTTTCGACCAAATTAAAGTCATTAGTTTACGTTACCCACTATTTTATTTCGGGAAAAAAATTTGAGCTCGACAAAACAATTTCTAAGTAGGTTGGACTTTGTAAAAATTAAATCTTATATTGTTTAGAACTGATTAATATTGCAGAAAACCTGAAAATATGGATTTTTAAAATCATAATAACATTTCAGTTCAGAACGGAATGTGTTTCGTATATTATACCATCTACATGCAGTTTTCTGCTAAATTCAAAACATTTTTCAGAATCGAAATCAGACGACGTTAACTAATTTTAATATTGTAACGACAAGATATAAGTTGTCTTAAAATAGTGAATTTTATATTCTACTCGAATTATTGACATTTGCATGCTTGTACGAGAGTGGTAGGTACTCTCATTCAATTTCACTCAAACTAATAACCATTTACAAGTAACACATAGATTCGAGGGGAAAGGGATAAGACGAGATTAGAAATCGCCGAAATGTTGTCCCTTAAATAATAGCCGTAGAGAGAACCTCAAACACGTGCACATCGGTATAATACATATACCACGTATATGGTACCTATATTAGTATATTACACTGCTGCGATGTCGTTAAGATATCCAAAGACGAGGATTTAGAAATTTTTTTTTTTTTTCACTGAATATACTTTGTGAATATTTTGTTTTTCGTGTCATCTACGCGTTTTGATTCACATATTTTACACTTTTTTACGTAGGTATCTCTCAAACGCCATCATACTAATCAGTTACATTAAGTTACAAGTTATAAATTATAAGTTATAACTATATAAATATTAAGTTCAATAAATTTCGAAAATCGGAAAACTTCAATTGAACGTATGTATATTCTTTTCATACGAGCATTTAAATTTTTTTTGTCAGATCTCGTCTCGTTTTGACATCACCATATAACAGAGCAGTAAATCGAGCTCCACGTGGAATCGTTTTCGTAATGCTCAGTGATTTATTATTGTTTTCAAATTCACAATAATATGTATTTAAATATTATTATAACTACAACACTGCGCAACATACAATATGTGTGCGGATTAAGCACACACGGTGGCGAGCCGAAGCGGCAGCAGTCTCCGCATCCGTATCCTGTCCGTACTATTTTTTATGTATTTACCAAAGCGTTTGTGTGCATATATATATATTACAGTAGTTAAGGTATATAAATATAACGGCGGTTTGGCATTTACAATATTTACGAGTTAAAACAATACTATATATAAATCTGTAGAAGTATTATAGGTACGTGTGTGTGTGTGTGCGCGCGCGCGCGCGTGTATCTATAATGGTATAACATGTTCACTGTAAAACACTATAATCTAAAGACAATAAATAATCAGACAGAACCAAAGTCCGCGATGTGTATATGAGGGGAGGTGAGTAAAAACCATTAAAAAATAATCGTCATTATATTGTAAATGTAAATGGCAATATTGCGGTGAAAATGATTTGAGTATGATATACTATTGGGATTAAAATCTTTTAATTTACCTATAGTATTATCGTCGTCGTATTCCTATATATATATATATATATATATATATATAACATCATCGTTCTCAGTATAATATAGTGTATGAATGTATGATGTCCGAACGTGCGCTGCGCATTTAGTGCACCGAGAATCGTGGATATGCAGTTTGATGCATTACTGCATATTAATATTATTGCAATCTATACAATATCATGACTAATAGCTGCAATAAGTAACTAAAAAATGTATAGTGCCTAAATGGTTATTTTTCATGATATATACCCGGCTACGGTGACGCAACGGTGATTTTTCCGTCGTGCCGATTTATCATATGATTTAAAAAAAAAAAAACATGTTCAGCCATGCCGTTACTTAAAAATCTATTAATATAATATAATAATTATGGACGAATGAAAGTTTTTCGAGGGGCGTATATCGATTCCGCCGGCTACTGTTTAAATATCTACATAGGTATCGATTCCGCCGGCTATTAATTCCTCCGGCTACTGTTAATATTATTTACATATTAATTCCGCCGGCTTCTGTTTGTCCCGCCCTTGTAATTTGTAAATGTATTTTTTCCCAGCCCCCTACTATCTACTCTTAAAGTCATACCTCGAAAACAGATCGTTCAGAGTCAGAATCAACACTAGACTATCAACCCACCATGAAATTCAAGCTGGCGTTCCGCAAGGTAGCGACATCGCCCCATTTCTCTACATTTTTTACACTGCTGATATCCCAGTTGGTCAGTTCACTCTCATCGAAACTTACGCCGATGACACAGCCATACTTGCCTCAAGTGTCAAGCCTATCCTTGCCAGCCATCAAATCCAAACTCACCTAAACATCCTTATGCCTTGGTTCAATAAGTGGGGAATTAAAATCAATGAAACCAAGTCATCGCATATAACATTTTCCTTAAGACCACATGACTGTSCGCCGATCATCATGAATAATTCCACTATTCCTCACTGCAAGACCATCAAATATCTCGGTCTCACTTTCGACAGAAAACTCACATGGGGTCCCCACCTCAAGGACAAACGAAAACAATTAAATAGTAGACTTCACYTACTTAGACCCTTACTAAGATCTAACACCAACATTCAAAACAAWATCCTTATATACAAATGTCTCCTCCGACCCTTATGGACCTACGGCATCGTACTTTGGGGCCCAACCAAAAAATCAAATGCAAACACGATCCAAGCATTCCAATCAATTTGCCTACGTATCATTGCCAAAGCTCCATGGTACGTAACGAACAAATTACTCCACGATGACCTCCAAATCAAAACTGTCCACGACACAGCCACCAATTTCTACAAAAGATTTCATGGGAAACTCCTC